GAGAAGGGCAGGTTATGGACCTAGGGAGAGGGAATTTGAGACATGCCCTGATTACTTTTATAAGTCCCAAGAAGCTGCTGTGGTAGGTGGTTTAGTTGCTTTTATGGCTGAAATGAGTATCTTGCAAATACTTTAGAACAACATGTGGAGCTGCCCTTCCCTTGTGACTGATATAGAAACTGGAAGAAGCAAACTTGTTTGCAAATGACAAGTAACTCTTCATTTACCTCATAGTCATAGATAACCTCAGGCAAGAGTTCTTTCCACCGTGTTTTCTTTTGCATTTCTGAATCTGTCTTCTTCTCCCTGCATTCATTCTGAGCTGTGGTGTGAGTGACTTAAGGAGCTCCTATGAACATACTGGCACAGGGACTGGTGTTGGGTAAATGCCCAAAAAATATGTGTCTGGATAGATTAATGTGTTTCCTTCCAAGATAACATGTTTTCATAGAACAGCATCTTTAAATTACCTAAAGCATTTTCGATGATCAATTAATTTTTGTAAACTTGAGTGAAATGGTTTTTTTTTTTAACTACAAGAATTTTCAGAACCTTGGTGTATGTTTATTTGTTCAGGGTAGGAGAGAGTGTGGGGGTCGTGGTGGTATATATTGCTCGCCATTCAACTTGGCCATGGAATATCTTTGTTTTTCATTAGATTCGTGTTCCACAAAAACCTAGGGCACAGGCCATGGCTGAATACAGTAGACACCAAATCTACATTGTTCACCTACTAATAGTAAAGCAGGCAGATTCCTAAATTCAAAGAAAATTTAAGTCCATAAATATAGTTGCCCTCATTGTTTAATTTTTCTTCTGTCTCATTTGTTTAACTTTTGGTGTCTGTTCCAAATGGTTGGTAAACAAATCATGGATAATATGCATGAATCCCAGATATAAATATGCATTGCTGTAGTACTATTGTATTAGGATTACTGCTTATGATATTTGTTTGCCTGGATTGGCTACAAGGATCTTGATTTACATAGCCTGCAACCTATCTTCCTACAAGGAAGGTTTCTCTGCCACCATACTGGGAGTTGGTAGAATTAGCGATGGAATGGAGATTTACCAATCAGCTGACAAACCAAACACATGGTAGAACCAGAAGTCAGTAAATGTCATAAAGGTAGTTTATGTATAATACACAACTTTAGATTCTCCATGTAGGGTAGGACCTGGCTTTTACTCAGCCACACATCTCTGGGAACTGCTGCTAATCTTCAAGGCTGAGTGAGTTAGTTTCTGTGAGACTCACATCTTTCAGTGCTCTGTGTGTTTGCTAATATTTGGGCAGTCTGCACTCTCCTTGTCACATATAACTTAATACTTAGGTTTTTGTATCTTTGTTCTTCTCCTCATTCTTTCAAGAGATAATCTACAACATATTTATTGTTTTTTTAGCACAATACAAATTTGTATTTGCAGAAACTTTTCAGTTTGGAATCATGCAAAATGGAAAGCTCACTTTAGTTAAGTCTTTATCAATGGTAAATCTTCCTCAACTCTGTTGTCTAAAATGTCCATCTCTCACTGTACATTATGCTAATGAATCTTTTTATTTTAATTCCTGGCTCTCAGAACTTTTAAGCTCTACCCAATCTCTGTCTTGCTGAGAATGCTGCCTTTTGGCCTCAGGAATGTCTGCATTCTTATGGGAGGCATCTCATTCAACTTTGATGAGAAGAAAAATAACCCAATTGCGGCCAATCTGAAAACATCTATATGACCCATCCTTACCAATTAAACTGGGAAAAAATAAGAATGCCATGATTCCTGCTGTATAATGTCTTTCAGAGTCTCCCCCAACATTTGTAGCAACTGAAAAAACTTAGCAAATGATATGTAGGTTACATATACCAGATTATAATAACACAACCAAAACTCTGCCAATTGGCTCAGTTCCAGTTTGTATTTTTTAAAGCCATGCCTATGATTCCTATATATATATGTTTTCTGCTAGTAAGAGTTTTCTTAGCTTACATGAATATATAAAATATATTCATTAATATATCATTATCTCAGTGTTCCATCAGAGAGCACAGTGATCTATAGAATACGTAATCCTTTCCCCTTGAATATTTTCAGGAGCTGTGTGACTCTGAAGGCTCAAGTGCTGTCAAGGAGTCATTTTTGGACTCCACAAATTATATCACATCACTGACCTGACTTTCTTTCTTCCAGCCAGGTTAACTTTTTCTTTTTCTTTTCTCTTCTTCTTCTTTTTTTTTTTTTGAGGGAGAGTCTCATTATATAGCCCAGACTGGCCTCAAATTTGAGATTTTCCTACTTCAACTTCCTGAGTGCCACAATATCTGACAAGCAAGGCTGTCTACCCGCAAAATTCCTGTCTTGAAAACTATGGGGCCATGCTATACAGGCTTTTGTCCTGAAAATATCAGATAGATAACTCGTTTTGATTTTCCTTCACCCATTTGTGCATTTTTTACCCTACTTTCTAGTGGACAAAAATTGGGTTCATCCTTGGAATTTAGCCCATTTATTTGGTCCTCAATCTGGGTATCTTTTCTCTCATGTACCTTGGTAGGGACATTTCAGTATAATTACGAAGAATAACAAAGAGAAAGTATTAAAATGGATGCTTTAGTGAAAGACATGAACAATTTTCAACTTGGCAATGAAATAGACCTATAGTCCCTATCTCTGTTGCTCAAATTACAAGCTACAATAGAGGTTTGTAATTTTATTAAGTGGTTAGCAACCAATACTGAGACTGTCAAATAGAATAGAATAGTAGACAAGAGAAAAACACTCCAGCATATTCAGTATTTTTATCTGGATACTCTGGATATGCCAGAGTATTTTTCTTGTGGGTAGGAGGGATAAATATTTTTACATAAAATTTTTAAAGCATAAAAATTGTATATGTTTTCAGTTTTATATGTAGTTATCTATATACATATTTATATGTGTCTGTACATACTGACTCATAGTATAAAACATATTTCTTACTGTGTCACAGCAAAAAATTTGACAGTCATAGGTGTGTATGTGAAACATAGGGATACTTTTAAGACAATTTATACTACTTCTTCTGGTATTGCTTTTAGGGCTAATCAGCTAACTATTATCTTAAACATTGTATAGACCACTCATCCACCAACTTACTGCACACGTAAGAACTTCTTTCCATCCACGCTGTAGGATCATGAATTCTATACACATAACCCAACATCTATGCAAATTAATTCCCACACTTTGCCTATCCTTCTGCCATGTTCCCTTCCCCTGCTCAGACTTGCTCTACAAAATGATGTTGTAAATCGAAATACTTTCTCATTCTTTGGTTAGGAACTTTAGACTCAAAGAAAATGTGGAGGCCCTCCTGTAGCACATCATTTCAGTTCTCCAACTCTCTGGAGAACTGAAATGGCTCTCTGGGGTCAGGAAAGTCTTTTTTAGTCTCGACTCCACCCAGCAAGGTTCTGATGCCAGATGAGTGAGCTGTGTCTGCTCCTTGGCCCCAGACTGCTTCATGACCTCAATAGGGCAGAGTTAGATCATCTCTAGTAGAACATAAGGGAATTGAAGCTTGCTGATAGCTTAGTCTTTTCCTGGTCTTGCAATATGTGCACTATTGCTCTTCTTTCTCACTATTGGCTTGCACTGTCTGTGTTCCCCACTGGACATCTGTTATGGAAAGGACAGTGTCTTTTATTTTTTTGTATTCCCAGCATCTAGTATCATTTCTGACAAATAAGAGATGCTTGGAAAATGATTGGTGGAATGAATCAGCACCTATATTTTGTGAAATGAATGTGAAAAGAGGCTTAGTAAGGGTCATTTATAAACAGTAGAGATCTGATCATAACCTAGTTCTTACTGACTCTAAATCCATGATACTTTTACTTTATTACACCTGCCTTTCCAAGAAAACTATTCTAAAGAAATTTGTTGCCAATAAGGGGCCTGAATTGTCACCATCCACTATGAAAGTATAATGATCAGGTTGATAATGAGTCTCAACTCTTATAATGATACTTTCCTCAAGATATGGCTTTGAAAGATGGAACTATGAAGAAAAGGGGAAAAATAAACAGATGGCATTAGAAGAGACAGTTATCTTTCAAGGCTTCCAGTTTATTTGCACAATGGTTTATGTATCTTTTAGAGGTATCTTAGTGCTTGTTTTAGTAGCAAACAATTGTGCACACTAATTTCACTTGAAGTTACTTGTCTGCAAATTCCTAGAGAGATGGTACACTGAAGGAAAGTAGTTCTCAACTGGGATATCTCTGGGCACATCTGGCATTGTCTGGGGACATTGTTGGCTGCCATACCTGGGGAGAAGAATGGCGGTGCTGTGCTGGCATCTATTAGGTAGAGGCCAAGGTACTGCTAAACATCTTACAAGTCACAGGACAGCCCCAAACAACCTAGGAATTATTCAGCCAGAAATGTTAGTAGCACCAAGAAGAGAGACCCTGTTATAGAGATATGGAATGACTCTCTCATTGGACCAGTTGGTTTAAACTCTTGGCTCTATGACTTTTTATCTGTGTGATATTGGGCTCATTGTTGATCAACTTTTTGTTTCTTAGTTTCCCCCATGATAAAATGAAGATAGTAATAGTACTGTCTATTATATGATTAGATGAATTGATGCACAAAAGTGCTTAGAATAGTGATTGGCAGCTAGGAACTTTTGATAAATGTTAATATTAAAGAAAATTGTGGGTTAAATGATAAGCAATTGTGCTTTTCTGAACATACATCTTTCCTGTTGCTTCCATCATTCTGTCTTCTGCTGTAGTCAGGTCAGCAATTGGAAGAAAGTCTCTTCAACATCTTAACTGGTTGAAAATAGATATCGGTGTCCTTACCTGGGGCAGGTTGTTTTGTTTTGGTGTGGATATCTCAGAGTGCCTTCCCTAAGTGGCTAGTTAGCCTGCTATGCACTATGTTAGTTATGTGAAATTACAACCTTTGGCTAGATTTACCTTATTTTCTATTGCAGGTTAAGATCTTGATGTGTGAAAATGAAGACCCAGGTTACCATGATTTGTTGTTTAGTGTTTTGTCTGGTCACAGACTGTTTCCACTATAAATCCAAGATTCACATGAAAGTAAGTTTCATCCATCCCTTTGTAATCCCAAGAGAGATCCTTTTGCTTCCCCAATGGCTAGATTTTTGATAAATAACATGTTATTTTAAAAAAAACTTTCAAATGACTATAATTTTACCCTTACCAATAGTAACTTTCTAAATAAGGGAACAAAAACAGAGAGGTGACAGGCACTTCTCAGAGAGCTGCAGTATAGTGGAAGAATTGCATTATAAACCACAGAATGTAGACAGGCAGCTGTTGAGAGGAGAGAATACTAGCCTGGCAGTAGGACAATTTAGAGTGAGAATTTAATTTTGTGAGTGAGAACTTAATTTTGCTTCTCACTGGTTATACAAGTTGTTTTACTTTTCTGAGTCTTGATTTCCTTATCTACAATATAAGACTTGTTTTTAAAGGTAATATTGGTAGTCCCCATATATAGGTATAGATTTGTGATTCTATTATTGTGACTTAAAAATTATTCTTAGTATCTACTCATCTTTTTCTTCTAAGGATATATGGTATCTGTGGCACCAAATTAGCTGCATTTCATTCTTAGCATTACTATAGACAAAGAATAGCTTTGTAGTATAATTGTCACCTCCACCTCTGCATTCTCTCTGGATACTTAAAATTTTAGAAAAGTTGTACCCAATCCACTAACTTGACCTTCAGAACCCATGTGACCTTCAAGGTTCTAGCTCTCATCAGGGACAGTATGTCCTCATCCATGTTCCTTCAGAAGTTCCTGTAATACTGTGATACTTCCACATGATTCTGCTGCAGTTTTCTTCCTCATCCAGAACTCATTTTCTCTTCGTGTTTACGTGGAGCCTCTAAGTTGAGACAAGAGGAAAGTCCCACAGAAAAGAAGACCTTTGGGAATTTCTGTTTTTCAGGATGGAGATAAACTTCAAAGCCCTGAAGGGAAACCTAAGCCTGGGAGAATGCAAGGTATGTAGCTGTAGAACAGTCTTCATCAATCTGGAGACAGGGCAGGAATAAAAGAAAGATGTTGATGTTGCAAGCATATTCCTAGACCACAGGCTTTCTCACCGAATAACAATTTCTAATACATTCTCCATGTTTACCAGCCTATTGGTCACATCATTTACTGACTTCAAGACCTCAGTATCATCCACTTCTTTCCATTCCACTGACACTTCCCTATGGCAACTTTTTCAGGACTGCATCACCATCTTTGTTCTTAGACTCCCCTGTCTCATGCTTATCCACTCTGACCCATTGGCCAAATTTGCCTTGCCATGAGCATTTGTGTTATTGGAACACAACTATGCCATTCTTATACATACTGTGTTTGGCTTCTTTTGCAATAAAAAGGCATAACTGAGTAGCTGTGACAGAGATCAATGTGAGCTGCAAAGTCTAAAATATTTACTTTCTAGATTGGGTTAGCATATTTAACAAATAAAAATATAGAATGGCCAATCAAATTTGAATTTCAGATAAACAGTGAGTAATATTATATGAATCATATGTACAGTAATATTTTATTCCTTGTTTATCTGAACATTTCCAATTCACCCTCATTATCTGCAGAGTCTACATTTGTAAATTTGCCTACTCATTGCAATTTATTTGTAAACTCATACGTCAATGCTCGGTGCTTCTGTGGTCATTCCCAGACATGCCCAGAGCAGCAAAGACAGTTGAGTCGCCTGATACACATGTTCCCAGCCAAGGCTGGAGAAAGGTGATGTTGCCTTGCCTTGTTGCTCCAGCTGTCATACTGTAAACACGTCATTTCCCAGTTGATGCTGTGTTGTGCTTTTTGGAGATAATTTTTTGTGTTTAGAATGAGCCCTAAACAGTGCTATTTAGAGTTTTTAAGGCAAAGAAAGCTGTGATGTGCTTTATGGAAAAGACAAGCTTTGTTCAAGCAGGAGTTCTAGTGCTCTGTGCCATGAATTGAACAGTAATGAATCAATAATATATATTAAAATAGTGTCTTTACACAGAAACAAACATAAAACAAGGCCATATATTGATCAGTTGATTAAAATGTCATGAGCAGAGTTTCATAGGAATCTAACTTATATTCCCCCAGAAGTGGATCAGTATTTGCTAATTCAGTGTTCATGGTGACCATATAGGTAATAACTTTGTGAACAAGGAGAATTGACTATATATGAAAATAAAATTAACGTTTAAGTGAGTTTCCCATATTTTATCTGGCAATTCCATTTACATAGTACTGTGCAGAAAAGTTTGCTGATTCTCCTTCTATGTATTGTCAATTACCCTTCAATGACAACCATGTTTTCTGGTAACTCCCATGTCAATTCAGCATTCACAGCCCTTTACAGCTTACCCCTGGCTTTCCTTCCTGTCATCCCTTGCCAGTCCCTCACTTCAGGTGTGCTGAATGAGCCTTTCTGAGTGCCCTGCAGTCCCCGTTTCCCTGTGCGTCTCCCCAGTCTGCCTGTCAGCTCTTGCTGGTTGCTGTGGACCTGGTTTAGAGTCACCTCCTCTGGGAAGACATTCAGAGACCCCCCCAGGATGAATCAGATGCACCTGTCAGAGCAGGCCTCTCACTTGCATTGTTTCTTCCTTTTCAGAAAAATGCCATGGGCCTTGCATCCCTTCTTCCATCTGCAGCCAACCCTGCACTGAGCACTTTCGTGGAGAAATAGGGTTTACATGTAATCAAAACAAGTGGCAAAAATCAACTGAAACATGCACAAGCCTTTCTGTTGAAACGCTTTTTAAGGTGATGCATTTGGGGAGCTAACCACCCAGGGGGTGTGGAGGCATTTTTAATTTGATGTGTTCAGCATGATGATAAATCTCAGACCATGGCCTTATGACAGTCTACAGAGTGGGTTAAATTAGTCTCTTGAACTTCTTTCCTTACTCAAACTCTCAGGTACTCTTCTTTTTCCCAACTCTCACTACTTCTCCCATCCAGATGTTTTTCCTAAAAAAAAAAAAAAAAAGAATAAAAAAAAAGAACCTGGAAGTTATTTATAGTATGGTGTAAATGACCTCTTAGAGGTTAAGTTTTAACTTTTAGCCTTAAAGGTGGATCTCCATGCCTCTTGTGCTAATCAATTAATCTGTATGTCTAGAGTTAAATTAAGTTTGATATTTTTCTAATACTTTCAATCCCTTGACCAGAATAAGAGATACATGATCCAGTGGGAATAGAAATTCAATGAATACAGTAAATCTCACTTAAATTAAAATTTCCTGTCTTATCCTTACACTTAGCAGCCATTTCTTTCAATCTTCCCTCTAATCTCCTTGCAGCCCATGGTTCTCTCTGTTTCCTACAGTTTTAACAATGGTTTATAAAGGAATTGCAGATGGAGTCTCTGTCAAAGCATAGGAAATCAAATTGAAAATCCTGACAACTTCAGTGGCATCAGAAGTTAATTAAAGGAAATAAGTCATTGCTTTGCCTTCTTCAGAGTCACGTTCTGAGAGAGTCTATGTAAAAGGATCAGGAAATGAGCAAATAACTTCTAATTAGTGAGCTGTAAACTTTTTGAAATTGAAGCTTCTGTGTATTGGATATTTGAGCTGCCAACCTCCCTTGACTCCTCTTTGAAATTCCATTTGGGTCCTCTTTCTCCATAACTTCATAGGAATGTGTTATTATACTAGCATTTGAGTAAAAAAAAGCAAGTTCTAATAGGAAAGTTCAATATCCTGATCTCTGTGGGGATTTTGGAGGAACGCCCTACCTGTCTGTGACCCTACATTGTTTTCTCTACTTCTCACACTGAGCCCCTTTTAGGATCACTTGCTTTCTGTCTGTTTTCTCCATACAGGTGTTTGTGCCTTCAGTTCCCTTAGTCAGACACATTTAGATACATAGTCATTTTGTAATAAAACGCCTTGTTTTTTCAAACAGGACTCCAGTGGTGCGTCACGCCTTTCCCTAGCATCATCTTCTTTTCCTCTGCACGTTCTTGACTTTCGAGTTCCTGAGCCTATTAAGAGTGTAGCCCAAGGCATCCGCAAGAACTGTCCCCTCGATTATGCCTGCATAACTGATGCTGTGACGTCGTCGGAAACCACATCTGGCAATATTGCTTTTATAGTGAAGTTATTAAAAAACATTTCTGCAGACTTGTCTGATAATGTTACTCAAGATAAAATGCAGGTACTTTTTAAAAAATTAATTTCATGAAACAATATTTTTCTTAAAATCTTGCACTTTACAGCTGAAAATGTATGTTTCAGGTAAAAACTATAGTAACCATAGCAACAGCAGCAAACATTTCATTTCAGTTTTGCACATTTGGTGTTATGGAAGTTTTCAAGAAATTAGAAGACTGTAAATACAAAATGGTGACCATGAACAAGACTAAGTCTACTCTAGCATTTCCAAAATTATGTTCCAAAGAACACAACTGTTCTGAGAAATGTTGGTGGAGGTTCCAGTTTTAAAAGGGAAAGCCACAGCAGCATGGCAGCATTAGAAAGGTCTGGGGTAAACAAAGTTAAGCAGATTTCGTAAGGACAGGACTTTTCAGAGCCTTTATTTAGTGTGCTAATGAAACATTGATGCTTGGTATTAAAGGGAGGGATATGGGAATATGGCATGCAGTATTTGTCAGACTTAGAGTACTGTAGAAACTACCATCACTCCTTCTAGGAAGCACTCATTGATATCTCATGGGAACCTTGAGTTCTACATCCTGTAGTTTAGAAGTGCTGCCTTGGGTACAATAGTAAAGTTGGTAGACATTAGCTGTGATAATATATGTATATTTATATATGTGTGTATATATATGGATATAGATATAGATAAATTTATTACATGCAGTTTTGACTAACCTTGGACAAAATAGATAAATAAGTAAATAAATAAAAAAGAGAAATTTCAAAACCAAACATAATAAATTCCTAAGTGTGCATAATTCAGCTCAGCTGATGCACAAAGAACCTCTTAGTCAGTTCCATGTTATTGTCAGTTGTGTTTAAATCTTTGTGTGATCTGTTGATTGCTTTCCCTGCCCTCAATTTGGTAGAAATGTCCTTCCAAAAACCAAATAGTGCCCCAGAAGCAAGGCAAAATTTAATGTGCTTAATTTAAATGAAAAATGAAAAAATTTAGATTTGTTGAAAAGCAACATGTCATTGGTGAAAATCAGGAGGCATTATGGGAAAAATAACTCAAGCATCTGCAGTATAGCACTGAATTCTACACTGAACTCGTGAGCATGTGTGAGTTTTCCTCAACTGAGGTCTCCTTGTAAGCACACCTGCAAATGCCAAGGCTCTACTGTATATGTTGTACCACATATATTAGCTGTCTTACTTTTCTTCCCTTTGTGTAGCCTTCCTAACTTGAGATTCTAATACGTGAGGAATGTTAAGAGAAATATGTCAAAGTACATTATGTTCAAGTATGGAAATGTCATGATGAAACCTCTTACTATGTGCAATTTAATATATACCAATTAAAAAGGGATTTTCTGACTTTAGAATTGATTTTGTACAGTAATGAGCTTTTCTTCATTGCAGAGCTATAGTGAAATAGCCAACCATATCCTTGACACAGCTGCCATTTCAAATTGGGCTTTCATTCCTGACAAGAATGCCAGCTCAGACTTATTAGAATCAGTGAATTCATTTGCTAGGAAACTCAACATCCATGATGAATCTGAGAACATTGTGGATCAACTCTTCATCCAGACGAAAGGCTCTCACATCCATCACAACACCTCAGAGATGCATTTCAGATTCTCCAATGGCATGAATAACACCACAAAAGGTATCTTAGGAATTATAGAAATCCCCAGGCAAGAGCTACAGAAGTTGCCACCACGTTCATCTCAAGCTATTGGCATAGCTTTCCCAACCTTGGGGTCGGTTCTGAAAGAAGCCCACTGGTCAAATATGAGTCTTTCCAAACCCATAAATGGTCTGGTCCTGTCGGTGGTGTTGCCAGAAACACTGAAAGAAATCTTACTCACCTTTGAAAAAATCAATAAATCCCAGAATGTTAGGGCACAGTGTGTTGGCTGGAACTCTAAGAACAGGAGTTGGAATGAGAAAGCATGCAAAAAGATGTTGGATATCACTAACCAAGTGGAATGCTGCTGTAACTACACCAATGCCATGAAGTCTTTCTCCATCCTAATGTCCCCCACAACTGTGATGGACAAAGTCCTGGACTACATCACTTGCACTGGACTCAGCATCTCAATCCTTAGCTTGGTTCTTTGCCTGATCATTGAAGCCACAGTCTGGTCCCGCGTGGTTGTGACAGAGATATCATACATGCGGCATGTGTGCATCGTGAACATAGCAGTGTCACTCCTGACTGCAAACGTGTGGTTCGTCATAGGTTCTCACTTTAACATAAAGGACTACAAGTGGTGTGTTGCAATAACGTTTTTCAGCCACTTTTTCTACCTCTCCCTGTTTTTCTGGATGCTCTTCAAAGCGCTGCTTATCATCTATGGAATACTGGTGGTTTTCCGTAGGATGATGAAATCCTGCCTGATGGCCATTGGCTTTGCCATTGGCTATGGGTGCCCACTAGTGATTGCTGTCACCACAATTGGTGTCACAGAGCCGAAGCAAGGCTACATGAGGTGTGGTGCCTGTTGGCTTAAATGGGACCATACCAAAGCTCTTTTTGCATTTGCCATCCCAGTCTTGGTCATTGTGGCTGTGAATCTCCTTGTGGTTTTGGCTGTTGCTGTCAATACCCAGAGGCCCTCTATTGGCAGTTCCAAATCCCAGGATATAGCCATAGTTCTGAGGATCAGCAAAAATGTTGCCATCCTTACCCCACTGCTGGGACTGACCTGGGGTTTTGGAATAGCCACTCTTGTAGAAGACACTCCCTTGATATTCCATATAATATTTTCCCTCCTCAATGCTTTCCAGGTAAGTTCTAAGAGAGAGATTTTCTGTGTACTTCCTCATTGGTTGTCATGTTGGATTTGGCTGATCCAGTCTGTGGAGTCTCCTTCCTTTTCCCATCGGTGATCCACCTGTGTCCATCCAACGGTTTCAGTGTTAACCTTCTCTTAGGAGGACTATCCTTTGCTCAGGGATGGTGAAGTTACAATCATATTATGCCTTGAATCAAGCACAATTTTATCCTTTTCCAGCGGTTTGGGAATTCAGTGAAATAGCCATTTTCTAATAGGATGAAGAGATGGCCTTTGACAGTCACTTTGGATGTTAATCAGTCAGGAGTTCTCATACTTCTTTGGTATTCTCTGTGAAATAAATGTAAGTTGTTATTTATAGAAAGAGATCTTGCCTTGTGTTACCTTGGGAAGGTTACTTTCCTTTGGGTCTCAACTTTCTCATGTGTAAAATAAAAATATGGATCTAGATCTCTATTGCCTTTTCCAGGTTTGGAAAGACTGTTTAAGATTGTTTTACTCCCTTTTGCAACTAAGCCTACACTTTTAGGAAGCTATCATTAGCTAGATTGTTTTCTATATCTATGAGTAACAGAAAAATTTGGCAAGTCCATAGTCTTAATTACGCCTTTAATCAGGGGTTGGCAAAGGACAGCCTGCTGCCTGTTTTTGTAAATAAGGTTTTACTGGAACATGGTAATGCTCATTTGTTTACATTTTCTCTATGATTGCCTTTGAACTACAATGACACATTTGAGTACTTGCAACAGAAACTGTATAGCCTGCAAAGCCTAAAATATTTACTATCTGTCCCCTTGCAGAATAAGTTTTCTGACTACTGCTTTAAATAATATAACTACTTAAACAAAGAGGCAAAAAAGATTTCTATTAACATATCACTAATATTCTACTTAAAAGCATGATACAAAATATAAACCAGACTTTCAAAAATGTCAACTCAGATCATTTATACATCTTATTCATCTTTTTTTTTTTCTGGTAGTACTGGAGTTTTGAACTCAGAGACTCATGCTTGTTAGGCAAGTGCTTTTACCACCTGAGTCACATTCTCAGCCCATTTTTGCCTTCATTATTTTTCTAATAAGGTCTTGTAATATGGTCTTGCTAACTTTTTTTTTTTGCTTGGGCTGGCCTGGAACCATGATCCCCCTATGTCAGCTTCCCAAGTAACTAGGATTAAAGGCGTGAGCCATAGCCCCCACTCTCTTACTCATCATTCTTTAATAACTGTAGAGCACATTCATCTCACTCTTCCTGTTACATTACTTTAAAGAGAAAACTTTGACTTAAGACTTTTTGCTTGCTTTCGGTTTTCAATTAAAAGCTTTTAGATTCACATATATTTCCCCACTCTTAAAGTTATTCTACTGATTGATGATTTCATCCTTTTCTTACTTTACAATGTAATTAAACCCTAGGAAATTTTGTTCTGTATTTCTTTTCGACATCATTTGTGTTTCTCTCTTTTTTTTTGATTGAAAAATACCAAAACCTTTTCAGTTATATACAATTCTCTTTTCTCAGAAAGTTTTCCTTGTGACTTACCTTTAACATTTATTTTTGCTCATCTGATTGTGCTTCTTCACCATAACCTTAGATGGTCTAGTGATCCAACTCCCCACCCTAAAACTTGCAGGTCTTTGTCGATTTCTGTCTTTTATGCAGAAGGTTATTTTACCTGCTCAGAACCCATGACTGCCTATTCAGTGAACCTTACCTTCAACTCAGAGCAGAGTAGACAACAGGCTTCGTTTACTTTCTTTCTGTTTTGGCAGTACTGGGGTTTAGACTCAGGGCCTTGAGCTTGCTAAGCAGGAATTCTATCACCCGAGCCATACCTCCAGTCCTTTTTGCTTTAGTTATTTTTGGGAGAGAGCCTCATTTTTTCTTCTTTTGCTCTGGCCAGCCTAACCTGTGGTCCTCCTATTTATCCTTCCTGCATAGCTGGGATGATAGATGCACCACCAGGCCCAGCTATTGGTTGAGATGAGCTCTTGATAACTTTTTGCCTGTGCTGGTCTGGAACTGTTCTCCTCCTGATGTGTTACCTGCATGAGCCACTGTGACTGGCTCACAAGCTTCATTTTCTTAAGACAACTTTCATGGTTGTGGTTTTAAGTGACAAGATTTCATGTCATCTGTATCTGTCATCATGAGGAAGAACAGCCACTCCAATCTTTGGGAAGTAGAAGATTTAGTAATGTCAAAACCTTTATTCTCCATGTGTAGTTATTCAATAAACATTAATAACCCTCATACATAGTCCCATGAGGGTGATCCTTAACCAGGGGTGGAGATAAGAAATACTCAGGAATGTATTTTTTAATCTGCATCAGTACAAATTGCTAATGTCCAATTGCTGTCCTAGAGGTTACCTAGAGGAATGGAATTAAAATAACAGCTGGGATACTGTCTGCAAAGCTGTCCCTCATGATTTTGTTAAATTTTACCACAGGGCTTTTTCATCTTGCTGTTTGGAACCATTATGGATCACAAGGTAATTTGAATTTGCTTCATTCATTGCAAATGACCCATGTGGCTAAGGGGAGCAGGAGGGTGACATGGTTTTGCTCAGAGAGCATGGTCCAGGGGAGCTGAGTTTGTGAGGATGGTTCAGGGCATTAGCTGTGATTTAGAAAGGAAAGAACTGTATTCTCTAATTTCTTGTTGTTATGGAGTCAGCAGGAAGCTGTGTGCTAGTATTGGAGAAAAGAATAAAAACCATGAGCACAATTTATACTTACTTCTAAATCTAGTTGTAACTACACTTCAACTTTTATCTGAGTCCCACTGTTTACCAGGCACTATGCTAAGCTGTTTGATGGTGGTTTTGCTAAGGTTACTGTTTTCAAAGTTCCAGGAGCCGAATCTAAGCTTTGGCAATTTTGTTGTTCCTCTGACATCTGCAAGGCATTTCTCACTGTCATTGTTTTCTAGATAAGAGATGCTCTGAGGATCAGGATATCTTCGCTGAAGGAGAGATCAAGGGCAGCAGAGGTATGTTCCTTCTTTTTAGTGACAACACTGGATCGTCAGTGTCCTAGTTATGCAGGGAAAAATACTGTAGCTCAGTACTCAGCACTTGTTAACAAAGAATCAATAGCATATGATTGGTTCACTCATTTCTTCATTTTATAAATTTGGAGTATCCTGCTAAAACTGAAGGTCAGCAGAAGATAGCCTTTGAGAGAATTTTGCACATTGGGTATATTTCACTTTGACATTGGACCCAATGAGATGGTACCTGGGATCATAGATTTATAAAAAGTGAGAGCCAGGAAATGGAACTTCAGTTAGAAATGAGATTCTATTCCAACCCACTCATTTTACAGAAAAGGAATTTAAAGCCCAGAGTACTTATGAGTGGAATGACTGGTAGAACCAACCGCCATCAAAATCTCTCTCCATTCTCCTTATTCAGGATTCTTTCCAAAAAACCACATTTTTGTGTATTGGAGGATCCCAGTACTTATAGATCTTGAAGACTTTTGACCTACCTATCTGTCTTTTAAGGCACCAATTAAAATTGCCAACATTTCTATATTAGTTAGAAGTTATTTGTTCAACCAATAGATTTCATTAAGTTCTACTTACTCAAAAACAAACTTTCTAGATAGGTTGAGAACACAATTTTTGATTAGTACTACATCTGACTTTTAGTACCACAGTTTTTTCACCTTTTGACATTTTTTTCACCATTTGACCTTTTGTAAATTGAAATGTATCTTTTAAAAATTATTTTATTTTTGAATTAACATACATTAGCAATATGAGGGATTTCATCACAATAATTACCTATATACATTTATATGTACACGTACATATATATGTATATATAGAGTACCTTGAACATGCTCATCTCCTCTACCATCTTTTTGTTCCTCCTCTCCTCCTCACATTTTCAAACAGTGTTTGGTGGGTTTCTTTCTTTATGCTGTCTCCATGTGTACATATGAGTGTACTTCCATCCTGTTCACTCCTCAGTATCCTTTAACTTGGAATATATCTTATAATCAAATATGGCATTATTAAATGGCAAGTTTGTTTCATTTTATTTTTTAGGAAAACATAACTATGAAGATATAGCTTGAGTTATACTCAGTGAAATAGGGACATTTTATTCTTAATAGATGTGTCAGTTTGGCACTTTATGCCTTCATTTTCACAGGCTGTACATAAATATACATATGCATCCTTTTCATCAAAATCATTGACTCATTGTCAACTCTGTCATTTCCCCCCTATTTAGAATGCATCATTAAGTCCAACCAATGGATCTAGATTGATGCATCATTGAGGATGAGATGTGAGTATTAAAGACTCAAGGGGGAACCTCACTTGTAAGTTGAACTGAGCCACTTGGCGCCCCTGTGAGAACACTGTTACCCGAAATGTGATGCTGAGAGGAGTGGGAGGGGAACAGGGGAACAGATCTTTCAGAAAGTAGACACTTCTCTATTGTTTGTGATGAACAATAAATAAATGAAAATTTGCACATTTTTTGAAAGCCTGTGACATCTGAGTTTACATGAGCAGACTTTAAGTGCACTTTTATTTTCTGTCCTCGGTAATAGGATGCACAGGTGCAGGATACACCCTAACTAGCTACAAAATGCCTACACCTGAGTCCCATCTTCTCAGTGAATTATGCCACTTAAAAATGGCCCCACTGTTGACAGTGAAGGAAGACTCAATTGGCTGAAATCACAAGCAATAAATCTGTCTCTTCCTAATGAAGTGGGGGTCCAGAATCATTCCTAAGAGGGTGTATAAGTAGGGTTGTGGCAAATTAGCTGTCTACTCACAGCCAGACCTTTGAGATTTATTTCTACACTGCTGAAATCTCAGGAAACAAATATTAGGCATCCACAAAAGGGTCACTAATTCACAAAATGACACTCAGAAGCCAGACTAGTAATAGGGGAATGTGGGAAGGGACAATCAACCTCAACCTTGGTAATGGTTTTGTTTTGGAAGGTTTCATGGCCTCTATGCACTGGTATAGATGAGTGACAGACTTTTTTTTAAAACACCATTTGGCACCAGTCACATTCTCTTCTACATTCCTTCCCTTTATGAGTCATGACCCATATATTGAACAATGGGTCAAAGCTCAGGCTTGAACAATGCCATGGAATCAAAGATACTATGAGTTGGAAGAACTCTCATGGTATCTCCTGTGTTACAGTTCCAACTCCGTGTTGAGCAGAATGGGACATTGGTATACAGTCCAAGGAAGAGGGAAAGAGAGAGTAAGAGAGCTCTGCCATCTACATAGACTGGCATATGTGAGTGTGGGAAAACAAAAGAAAAATGCTGGAAATTTAAATCTTTAAGTGATCATCCTCACATTTGGATTTTTATATTAGAACATTTAAAAGTTTGACATTTATGGACTGTGCCCATTTCCTAATCTGTAGGTCCTTCATGGTGGAATATCACTTTAACAGTTTGAGATTTGTCACTAATCCAGAGTTATTAATTCAGATGGCCTATTAAAAACACAACTGATCTTTATTTTGACAACCTGTTTTAGGTCTATCAGACTGTTAGGTGGAGAATGTCTACCTTCTGGGTTACTTTTCAGCCTTTCTACAGAGGAGAAACATGGTGGAGGCCATCTCTCCAGCTGATTGGGGAAGCTTGTTTGCCTGTGGTAAAAGATGGAGAAAAAGAGTAGAAGCCAAAACCAAGGACACTATGTATAGAGTGGGGGAGGAACAAAGGGTTTAGATGAGTGTTAGAGGAAGGCTGGGTAGTAGGTGGGAATGGACTCCCCAATAAAGTCATCTTCACATAGTTTTCTTTCATTGTTTTCTAATTTTGAACTTTTGAGGAAGGTGATGAACTCAGTATTGCATATTTTCAGCACATCCTCCACAGGTGGCCCTGTGCCTATTTAATTTTTCTCAGTAATTAGGGCCTATGATTTTACATCTGGACACATGGTATCAGAAGGTTTCTACAACAGCAGCTGGCATAGTGGTAGATCATGTTGAGGGTCCAACAAGCATTAGAGTACAGGAATAGGAAATTCACAGTAAGTGGTCTTCTGAAGTACAGAGTGAAGAGCAGGTAGCACCAGTAGAGGCGCAGGGTTTATGGTAGAATTACTACCCAGGAGCACCTAGGATGTTTGGTAAGTAAAAAGCAGGGGTGCATTCAGTCAATATTTCAGCTCTTAAACCACAATGCAAAGTGTAAGACTCATTGGCTCCCAGGAGTAGGCTGAATTCCAATGGCAAGAAAGGAGATGGGAAATCAAGTGACCTGCAGTGAGAACTGAGGCTTCCACTGTGCCTGGAAGCTCCTAGGTCAAAATCATTAGAAACAGAACTGAGACATTTCTGTCAAGAGGTCCCAGGGTGAGGGAAGGAGGACTGCACAGCAGTGAAACCCTGGCCCTTTCTTTCAGGCAGAGATTCTGATTGGTAAACCCCATCCTGGAAGGCAGAGAGAGGGAGACTTCATTCTACTGAGTTCACAGCTGCAGAGCGCCCTCTGCTGTTGCTATGATGGATGGGACTTTAATATAACTCAAACAGGCTGTTTCACTCCCTGTGATTCCAGGGGTACCAGGAAGTTTCTTGGTTCCTCTAAAATATTTCCCACCTATTTGTTTAGGCCTGAAATTCACTTAAAAGGATACGGAGTTCATTCCACAATGAAAACTGAGACAATAGATCAAACATTCCTAGGGAAACGACACAATTTAAAATGTAAAGTTGTAAACTCAGAGCAGCAGAGTCATTCCAGAGACCAGGTTTAGATAAGGAAAGAAGAGAGAGGGCACTGAGTACCCAATTTAGGATCAAAGGAGCAGCATGGAAAAGGCAAAGGATGCACAACAATACATACAGTTGGGAAGATAGCCTTCCTGCTGTGTGACTGTGCAGAGATTATTCATGCTTCTCAGCTTCCTTTCCTCATCTGCAAATCACGGTAATAATAGCGCACACCTCCCAGGATGGTTTCAGGATTAAATGAACTAACACATTAAAAGGAAAATTCCTGTAATAGTGCCTTGCTTAAATTAAGTTGTCGGGAAATGTCAGCTATTATTTTTACTACTAACAAGTGTTCCAAACATTTTGCACAGGTTGCCCCATTCATCATAGATGTCCTGCATTCTGGGATGAAGAGTGGGCTCCAGGAGAAGGACATGCTGGAATGAGGGAGATAGCAATGCTTCGTTGGACTTCCTCTTCCTTCCAGGAGTGACAGCTAAACTGAGGAAAACTTGAGGATAACATTTGATCACTGGGCTTTAAAAAGGCTGACCTGCTGATCCTTTGACCTACCCATCTCTTGAAAAAGGCTGGCTTCTTGTTAACCTTGGCAAGATTCAGAATCAACCTGCAACTTATTTCATGGTCTCTTTGGCAAGCCTGCAGTTAGTGGAGCCCTGTTGGAACTGATTGGCTTCCACATCCAAGGATACCCTGAGGCTCCTTGGGTCAGTCATCCTCTCTTTCTGCATGGATCCAGGGTGCTTTGGGGGACAGGGTTAAATCCAATTTCAGGCATAAGAATGTCTGGATGGGTTGGCAGGATAAACCACAGACAGTTTATTCATGGTAGGTTTCCTAAAGACAAGGAACTGAAGAACAAAGTAATTTAGCTTCTAAATTTTAGTTTCCTCATTTGTAAAACAGGCAAAATATTCTTGTAGGTATTACTATTTGTGTGTTTGTACATACCTGCATTCAGGTGTGTGTGTGTATGTGTGTCTTTTTATACCACTGTACATAAAGAAAATTCTGGTTGTTATTTTAGAAATAAAAATGAATATATTTACCTTTCACAACTTGCTCAAGTGTGAGCTCATTCAAGATGGACTTCTCTGTTGATACCACAACATTCTTGGGTATCAAACCTGTCATCATCCACCTCTACTTGTTGATTAGACATACAGGGGGTCTGGGAATGCAATCCTGCCAATGTGCCCAGGAAGTGGGAATCTGGAAATACTTGGCAAAGAGTACCACCTTGAACTGTCTTTGATAGAATCTCAATGAAATTACTTACCAATTGGGTTTTAGAAATTTTGTGTGTGTGTGTGTGTGTGTGTGTGGCAGTTCTGGACTTGAACTCAGGGTCTCATGTTTGCTAGGCAGGTGCTCTACCACTTCAGCCATTCCACCAGTCCACTAATTTCTTTTTAAATATTAAGATATTCATTAGGGCGCAGTATGGCCATGTGGGTGGGAGTAGAGAAATTTGTTCAAAACAGAAATTATAAAAAGCCACTCTGTCACCATCTTTTTTTAAAAAGCAAAACAAACAAGTAAGCAACAAAACAAAACAAAAAGCAAAAAAAACCCTTCAGTGAGTACCTCCTTGTAGGGTTGTAGTCAGACCCCTAACATTGGTTCCAAAACAGGAATTGGTTTTCAAATCAAACAGTTTTTCAAAGGAAGAAAAACTTGTCAACTGCAAATTATTTCCCTCTCATACTCTTAAAATAAAACGTTCATTGGAGAGACATGAATCTAACTTCTAGATTTAGAAACTTCCATCAGCATTAATTTATTGATCCACATTGCCTTCCTGACTCTTGCTGCTGTGAAAACAACTTCTATTTCTCTCAGTCAAGCAATTCCAGAATATTATGTAATTCCAAGCCAAGTTTGGTAGATTTGTTTAGTATGCAAATTCCACAGTAGATAGGGTACTTTTCTTAGTAAATGAAGTGGTTTGCTTTTGGAAATGGCTTCCAGTTAGGCTGCTGCTTGTTAGTTATTGAAAAAGAAAAAGGAAGATTATCTGAAATTGACAGAAAGCTGTAGCAACAGAAATTAATGGCCCGTAGTGTGGTGAACCAAGAGAGATGGGAAATGTTTGGAGTGTGTGTCTGAGTGTGTAAGTGTGTGTGTCTATGTGTGTAAGTGTGTCTGCATGTGTGAGAGCACTGTGAGTGTGTGTCAGTGTGTGTCCGAGTGTGTGAGTGTGTGTGTGTGTGTACAACTTTTGTGTATTCTTCCATGGCTTGCTTCATGTATGTGCAGTTTCCTATGTTCATCCAATGCTTCTGGCAGTTAATATTATGCATAAACAAACATGAAATTCATGTTGTGTTCAAATTACTCCCTAAAATAGCCATCCAGTTAGAACAAATTCTGGTTTCTGAAACAAGCATTATAGAAGAACCAACCATAAATATCATGGTGAGCCACGATCAAGAACAGTGGTTCCAGCCTCACAACATTAAAAATCATCTGTAAAGCTTCTAAAAACTGTGGAAGTCTGATCCTTATCTCCAGATTCTGATTCAATTAATCTTTGATGGGAGAAAAA